TGTTACGGGAAAAATGCCCGCGGGAGGGACCATTGCGAGAGACACGGGCAGGGTTGCGGAAGCAATCGTGCTGGAGATGACCAGGACCAGTCTTGTTAAAAACCGACAAAGACGAACTGGACAATTAACCAGAAGATGAGTTGACGGAAGATTGCGGTTTTGACAGTAGTTGCAGATAGTTGTCTTCTGTGGGGAAGATGGTGAAGGAGAACTTCGAATCTGGGGAGTAGCAAGAACAGAGTCCACAGGGTGTGGATGGAGAGTACCAAACCTGGTTTCCTCTGACAGTAGTTCAGAAATTGCTTGCTCAAGAGTGGGTAAAGGAGTGCGATCAAGGAGAGATGCGCGATATGATTATTATGAGGAGTGAAAGCCATGAGAAACTGAACCAAGCGTTGTTGGTCACGGTAAGTAGTAAACAAGGCAGCATCCTTAGTACAATCCCATGGAGGTTCAGAGAGAGCGAGCTGATCCCAAACATAATACATTTGTGAGAGGAAATCATTAATGGTTTGAGTTGTGTCTTGGCGCATACGGTGAAGTTGACTCAGAAGCTGATATTGGTGAGCAAGGCCAGTAGTCTGGTAGCGTTCTTGTAAAAAATCCCAGATGGCTTTGGCTGGAGAGGAAGCAGAGTCAAGTTGGAACCGACCAAACTGAAGGCTGATAGAAGTAATAGAAGTATTACGGAGCCAAGTGATGATCTGATAGTTTTTGCTATCCCAATCCTCCAGACGATCGACATATTTGGCAACGGAGTCCGTGGTGGCAGCGGATTCTGTGGTGGCTGGGATGGGTTTGCACACATCCCCAGTGATGATGCGCCAAAGTTTCTTGCCTTTGAGGAACCCAGACATAGCTTGTGCCCATAAGACATAGTTAGTTCCGTCAAGAACAACGGAAATAGGGTGGTTGGAGGAGTCCAAGTGATCCATGAGGAAAAAGCAGTACTATCGAAGCCGAATCTTAAAAATCTGAGGTTACCAGTGAATTCAGAGGGTCGAAATCAGTGGGAAAGGAGTGAACGGACCAAAAAAAAGATGACCAGAAGGCACTAAATTGGCTTGTCAAAGTTGGTCAACAATTCTGGTCAAAGATGACGTCACTGCTGCAGATGGTGATGTCACAGGCGCGGCGCACGTTAGCATAGGCAGGCGCGGCGTACAATAGCAGAGGAAACAAGCGGCGCACGGAAGCAGCCAGGGCTGACGTCAACTGACGTCAAAAACACGCGGCTCACGTTAGTAGATGAGGCCGCGGCGCATGATAGCACGGGACAAGTGTTGAGGCGCGTAGAGCGCGTCTGAGAACGAGGAAACGCGTGGATGAAAGTTCTGGTGGCACGTGGAACGTCGGATGAGGATGAATCTGGTGGCGTTGGATTCGTCGTGAGGAGACGAAGGTTCTGGTGTGGTCCAATCTGTAATTTAGATAAGGACGAGATATGCAACAATCTGCTCAAAATAAAAATGTGATGCAGCAGAGGAAGAGACTAGGCAATACACCTGTGCTCTGATACCATGAAAGAAATAAGAGAGTGATATTGAGAGAGTAAGAAAACTCTTGTATTCAATATATCTGAAAGTGTAAGAAGAGACTCCATATATAGGAGTTGCTTATACAACATCATTATGAAAGCAAAACATTATAATAATAGAAAGCCGCCGAAAGCGAAGGCAACCGAATATATAATAAGAATCCTATGCTCCTATGCTCTGTCATCCTATAGCTATTAATATATGATACATTAATATATATAATATATACATTATTATAATACATTAATATGATATATTAACAGAACAAATCCAAGTAATGCTCCAAAATAATAGTTATTCGTTTAAACCAGACCCATTCACTTTTTGTGGTAAGAGTTTTAAGAGAGAATGTGCCAAGTATCAATCGATAAATGGAATGGAACAATACCTCAAGTGCACTGAATAATTTATCCTAAGAAATTTCCATGAACATATAGCCATCTACGTGCTTCTGTGTCTATGTCTGTGTTCTTCATTTTTGTGTTTGTGTTTGTGTTTTCCAAGGAAATCAAGCCTATTAATGGCACTCTTTGCCAATTTTTTCCCCTAATTAAATTAGTTAATATAAATTAGTTAGTTAATATAATTGAACCAGGCGCGGAGAAAACATAATGGGAGAAGCAAATCCCCTCCCCCGTTTTCTTATCAGAGAGGCATCTAGTGTAGTGTAGGGGATGGATGGCATAAAGAACCTGATCACTGTAATTATGGAGCACAGACCCAAAAAAATCATGAAGGACAAGGGTGAAATATAAGAATTTGCTTGAGGTTGGTCTTTTTCTTTTTCTTTTTTAATTTTGTCCTTTTATTTTGAGTAATTTATTAATGGTAGCTTATATGTTGAGTAAAGGTTTTTTCATTATTATATAAACATTCTTGGTCAATTATGTAAAATAGACTTTTTTTCTTAATTACGCAAACATTCTTGGTCAATCATGCAACAAGTTTTTTCGTAATTATGCAAACATTCTTAGTCAATTATGAAACATAAATATTTTATTTTTTAACAAATTATAAATACACTCATAAGGTTTGTTTAAAATAAGAATTAATCCTATAATATTAGAAATTACAACCACCGTTTGTTATATAAATTTTTATTTAACACAATATTCAGGGCAAAAAAAATCAATTCTCCTATGTAATAATAAATTATCAAAATTATTTCTCATCATTAAAAACTATTAATTGGCTTAATGATTTATTTATTAACTAAATGATTAATTGAAAAATATTTTTCATATCATTACAAATTTTTAATTACTTAATGATTAACTTATTAATAAAATTGGTCATTCGTTATGCAAATATAATTTATGCATTATATATATATGTATGTATTTTTTTCTTTATTAGTTCAGTAAATTATCTTAATAATTTTTTTTAGATGAGAGAATTATTTTAGTATTTGTTTTAGCTGCACACCATAATTTTTTTTAAAAATAAATTTGGAAAAAATGTTAAAAACTCATAAATTCACCCAAAATAATATGGTAATAAAATTGGAGTTTACATTATTAGTTGTATAACAAATTAAAAAATAATACATACCATACCACATAATTATATTATTTATGTAATGATTTATTTTATTCAATTTCATAGAAAAATATTTTAATTTTTAAAAAATTATCAAAATACAAAACTTAAATCTATTGTAATAATAGTCCGAGCCTTGCACGGGCCTTCTTAAACTAGTATATATATAAGAACTGCTTCGTTGCTTGATGTTCGTCTTTTCTTTCTAATTTTGTCCTTTCATTTTGAATGATTTACCAACGATAGCTTATATATTGAGTGAGTTTTTTTCGTAATTATGCAAATATTCTTAGTCAATTATGCAACAGATTTTTTTTAATTATGCAAACATTCTTAGTCAATTATGAAACAAGTTTTTTTCGTAATTACGCAAACATTCTTGAAAATAGATTTTTTCGCAATTATTTTTGGCCAATTATGAAATATAAAGCTTTTATTTTTTAATAAATTACAAATACACGGAAAAAATTTGTTTAAAATATGAATCGATCCTATAATATTAGAAATTACAACTATCATTTGTTATAAATTTTACGATAAATTACAACTACACCCCCTGAAGTTTGACTAAAATACGAATCGCTCCTTATGGTTTTGAAAATTACATTCCACACCTGAGATTTTTAATTTCATAACAAATTGCTCATTTTATTAATAAATCATCAAGCAAATTAACAATTTTTAATGATGTTAGAAATATATTTCAATTAATAATTTAAGTAATTTCATTATTGTATAATAGAGCAATAATGAATTTCATTTTTTTAGTTAATTCTGTTAAATAAAAAATATTAACAAAGGTATTTCTAATTTTTCAAACCACAAGAGACAATATGTACTTTAAGCAAAGCTTAGTGGGTGTATTTGTAATTTACCCTAAATTTAATTTAACATAATACTCAAGGAAAAAAAAAAATTCCACACCTGAGATTTTTAATTTCATAACAAATTGCTCATTTTATTAATAAATCATCAAGCAAATTAACAATTTTTAATGATGTTAGAAATATATTTCAATTAATAATTTAAGTAATTTCATTATTGTATAATAGAGCAATAATGAATTTCATTTTTTTAATTAATTCTATTAAATAAAAAATATTAACAAAGGTATTTGTAATTTTTCAAACCACAAGAGACAATATGTACTTTAAGCAAAGCTTAGTGGGTGCATTTGTAATTTACCCTAAATTTAATTTAACATAATACTCAAGGAAAAAAAAAAACTATTCTCCCACACAATAATAAATTATTGAAATTATTTATTGAAAACTATTTATCATATCATTAAAAACTATTAATTGACTTAATGATTTATTTATTAACAAAATGATTAATTAAAAAATATTTTTCATATCATTAAAAATTATTAATTTACTTAATGATTTATTATTAATAAAATTAATCATTTGTTATGCAAGTATGATTTATATGTTAATAAAACTAGTCATTAATTCAAAAATAAAATTAATCATTTTTGTATATATATATATATATATGCACTTTCTTCTACTTCTTTAGTAATACAGTAAATTATCCTAGTAATTTTTTCAGATGAAAAAATTATCCTAGTATTTATTTTATATTTATGTGTTGAGAAAAGTTATGCACCATAATTTTTTTTATATAAATTCGGAAAAAATATTAAAGACCCATAAATTCACCCAAAATGACATGGTGATAGAATTTGAGTCTGCATCAATTGGTGTATAACAAATCAAAAAATGATACATATCATACCCACATAATTCTATCATATATCTAATGATTTATTCTATTCAATTTTATAGAATAATATTTTAATTTTAAAAAAATTATCAAAATAAAAAGCTTAAATATACTGTAATAATAACCTGTATCTTGCACGACCCTTTTTAAATATATATATATATATATATAAAGAACAAAAGAGCAACTACAGAGTTGAAAAGAATCCAGAAACAACCCCATACATAAGTCAGCGTTTGAAGGCTTAGTTTACATCAGATAGTTCAGAATGCATTATGCATATCCACAATGAACTAAAACTTTGTTTTTGTTATACATCTCAGAAAACACATTCCCCTGTGGCAGCGGTGCTGCCTGCTGCTGAAAAAACGACACCAATCATGGTGAACCTTGACCATGAAAGAATGATTACTTGCATACATATATATATGCATATGTATACAAACTACTGATGTATGTACATACACATAAAATTCAAATGTTTATATATCAATGGAGGAAACTACTAACCTAACAAAACTGTGTTCGAGCCCTTTCGAGTTAACACACCTTAAGTAGGCGATTCAGCAAGCATAAGAGTGTGCCACCAGCCACATGCGATATTTTTAGAGACACAACCATCAATGGGAACTTGAGAAGGAATGTTGCGGTCGATTACATCGCCCAAGCCAAGCTGCATTGGTAGAAGAATTAGTATATGGATTAAATCTTAGTAGATAACACACGATGTGCACAAAAGGTAGATTAGTGGATTTTCAGGGTGTTGAGAAAACAAGTTGATCAATTAAACAACGCAAAAATATTAGTGCACATGAAAAATAAAAGGAATTATTTCGGTCAATGTTGTGTTATGTGTAAATGTTTAACTTGATTGAGCTATTTGAGTGCACGCCATGCCACATATGCAACTTAATTGAGAAGTTTTAGTGCAGTACCTGGCCATACTTGTTCCATCCCCAGCAGAACACCTTACCGTCATCTTCAAGCAACAAAACAAGAAGTCAGAGAAGACACTATCAATGACACATCTAAACATGAACACACAACGCAAAATGCTAAACTGATTTTACAAACTCTTAGGAGTTATCTCATCCATACAACAATCTATAAATATCATTACCAATTAATCTCATCTAAACATGAACACATAAAGCAAAATGCTAAACTGTTTTTACAAACTCTTACGAGTTATCTCATCCATACAATTGAACAATCTATAAATAACATTACTAACTAATCTCATCCATTATTTTCAGATTTTATTCCATATTAAAGAGCTTGAAATTGGTCCATTTCCTTCTTTGCGACAACCATAAAATATCAGTTAGATCTCATCTTTATTGCCTAATGAGGCGCTACACTAAGATCCCACTTTGGTTATTGAAGAAGGCACAATTATTCAAGCCTATTTGTATGGAACCAAGCTAGGCTAGACGAAGGTCCCCACTCCAAAGTGGTCCTCCCCACCCCCATTCTAAGGTGGGCTGAGCTAAGGGTTCAATCTTGGCCCATTCCCCACTCCGAAGTGGGGAAGGCCACGGGCTTAGCCCAAGCTCCTTTCCTTACTATGATGTGGGCCGAGTTAAGGGTACAGCCTTGGCCCTTTCGCCACTCCGAAGTGGGTTAGTCCATAACTTAGGCTCCAAGACTCTTACTCCAAGACACTTGAGCTCTAACAGATCAACCAACACCATGTGAGTAAAGGACGCGTGGTGCCCTCGAATGATGGAACCGCCCAACGGAGTCTTTACTCTCCTCCAATGAGGCGCGACCTAACATAACAAATAAGTGCCAGGTGGTAGAAAGACAAACTTAATGAGCAAGTTAAGCCTAACCTTACCTCCCTTTACAAAGGATCAATCTCTTTACACTCTACACACTCGTCTTCTCTACCTTCTCTCCACCAAACTCTGGTACCACCTCGACCGTCGAAGGGGTTTCCGACCAACCCCTGGTCAGGCAGCCTAACGATTTGTTCGTTGTGCAGGCCTTCACCCATTGGTGCATCAGGGTTCGTCTACGAAGTTCCATCTTACTCTATTGCGGAAACCAATCCGCACAGTTATCCAATGATAAGCTTTTTTCGTCTTCTACTTCTAAAATTATGATAGCATATAGTTCCGTTGGCTTAAATTTTCTCTATGATAACCAATCCACCTTTTTGAGAAGTTTTAAGTGCATGAATGCACTTTTGAGTATAAAAAATAAAACAATAAAAAAATAAAATAAAATAAAAAGTAAAACTTGGAATGTTATGCTTATTTGAAGTAGGAATGGTTGTCCAAAACCCTGATTTTCTATTTTGTTCCTACCACTGTCGTTGAATTAAATAGTGTTCAAAACTAGCTTCTTTTCACATCAACCTCTTGTGTTTCACCACATTCTCGTAGAATGCTGGTCAGACACCTATCCACTAACTGCATAACATTTCTAGAACATGTTTTCATATCTAGAAGGTATAAGTAAGGCCTCTTGGCTCTCATTGATCACCAGAACCTCTGTTTTTGTTTATTTCAGAATTCAAATCCAGTGCAAAAGACAGGCCAAGCCAGTTTGTCTATGCATTTGTACGCTTGGCGTCATGGAAAACTACCTACTCCACAGTCCACACTCTTTTCACCAAAAATGGAAATCCAGATGGCAATAAAAGAGCATGAATGATGTACCTGTGACTACAGCACTGTGACGAGCACCGCAAGATACTATTTTTGCATGATTGTTTTCCAAACTTGGAGCATCAAGAAGCCTGGGAAGTGTCTGATGCAGGAAATACAGAAAAAACAGAGTTAGTTAAGCAAACTTGCCTTTCAGCTTTGAGGATGTTTACAAGTCTCTGATATTCTAAAATGATTAACCACTAGTGATAGGGCAAAAAATCGGGGTGAAGGACATGTCTGAAATAAAGCAAGACCAGAAATAAGGAAACATTTTTGAAGTTTGCTTTACAAGCCGTTCCATTTTTGAAGGAGAATATATTGCATAACTAAGAACTACTTCCAATTGACTCTATTTTTGAACTAGAAGATTTTTAGTGCAAGAGTAGAATCTTAACCAGCAAATCATGGCATTTCGTAAATAGAATGAATTCAAAATTTATACCTCAGCCTGATCAGTGCCAGTTCCCAACTGCCCAAATTGATTCCCACCAAATGAATAAACATCACCATCAGCAGAAATGCAGACGGTGTGCCAGAGTCCTGCAGCCACGCCCTCTATCTGGATACCCAGTAAGCTAGATACACATATAGGGCTGAGCTCATCATCTGTGCTTCCTTGCCCGCACTGCACCAGGACATCTCAGCAAACATAAATCAACATATTAATATGACAATTCGCGAAACATCAAACAATTAGATTGAGTACAAATCAAAAACTTAGCAAAAACAACACAAGGATATAGATCAGATTATCCCTTTCTAGAGTGGATATGGAGCTCATCTTGAACATCTACTGTGCTTTTTTTTTTTTTCTCCACCATTTTCTACCTTACATAGATGTTGACTCAGAAAGCAGTTAATGCTTAGAAAACTTCTTGAGCATCAACAATGTATGTAAGAAAAATAAAATGTTCAACATACTAAGCGGAACAACAAAACAAGACACCAGCTTTGAAAACTTCTTGAGCATTAGCAATGTATGTAGGAAAAATAAAATGTTTAACATGCTAAGTGGAGCAACAAAATAAGACCGCAATACCAAATTTTCCTTCGGTAATTTCATTAGACAACAAATAATAATGCTTTACTACAAAAGATGCAGACATACAAAAGTAATAAAATGATAGGTGGGCCCAAAATTCATGCAAATCGATGATGTCATGAAATCCAACAGCAAGCCTTCACAGAACTGTAGTTAACAGGCACAGTGACTGAATTTCGACAACTGACAAGCAATGGACATTTTTTATTCAGGAGACAGCAAATGCTGCACCCAGACTGAATCTCTAGAGTTTCAGCGAGGAGAGGAGGGATGGACACACATATGATTTTTCTGGAGCATACTTGGAAGAAAAAGGAGATGGCATATTTGACCAGATGGCTAGGCATCAAAATGTATACTAGTCCTTGTCTTAACAAATAGACTACTAGCTCATTAAATTGAAAGAGAATGACATATTTGACCATCAGATAAATGAAGGCATAATAAAGAAACCATTTAGTTAAAAATTTTGGAAGGACTGCTCCACATTCCTGTGGTAAGGAATGCAAACTGCCAAAAAAATGATTAAACGAAGTCAAGACTCTGTCAGCAACTGGGAACTTGATCTAAAGCTGGCTTCTATATTGAGCAACCAAATTATATATTATGAAAAATTTGCTGCAACTTCAGCAGTTGGGAAGAAAAACAAAACATCCTCATGTTGAGTTAGCTTCTTAAAGCCCAGACCTAATGGGTTAAAATTTTAAAGAAATCTTGATGCCTCCATACAACCATCAGGCCTTACTAAAAAGTTAAAATACTTCTGTAAGCAAAGATATGCTGTTCCCTGAGTCAACCTATTTGACAACTACTCAGATTCACAGTCAAATCTCCGAAGGCAGGTAAACCAGATGAGTTTAACTACTATTTGATACTCAGATTCACTGTCAAAGCTCCAAATGTTGGTAAACCAGATGAGTTAAACTAGGTACCATGCACAGACACAGAATTGGGACCACACTAAGAAGCATTAACACTTCTAAAAAGATAATGTGTCAACATGACACGCGTTTGACACTTCCCAATACTTCACACATGAATCACACCACAAGTTTGAATAAAATAACTTGAAATCCAATAAATAAAAAAAAACAATACAAAAAAAATAAAATGTAAATTTATACTTATTCTCCTCTTTTTAACTCTAAAAATTATTTTCTTAAATATTCATATAATAAATATATAAAATTATAAATTTTGCATGCGTCCCCCACATGTCTGTGTCCTACATTTTTTGAAAATTACCGTGTTGGCACGCCCATGATTCTTAGGGGCCACACATGCTAAAATTAGGAAAAATATTATTCCCACTCCACTTGTTTATAATGTACTCCAAAATCACATGACACTATTCCCAATTCACACTAGAATAGTGCATTTACAAAGAAGTGCTAACATATTCCTAAATTATTAATTTAACAATTCAGATACAAAGCAAAAAAGAATGAGAAAAATAAATCACACAAAGCATGCAACAAGAGATTTCATGATCCAGAAAAATTCACCTGTCCATAGAGTCCCCATCCAAAAGCAAGTAGTGCTCCAGCATCTGTAATTGCAAAAAAAGTCACATTAAAAACTGAGGTAACATAAGATTGAAAACAAGTAATGTTTTCCTAAATACTATGCTGCACTCGACTAGTTATCAACCAAGTCACGAAGTGATTACCAGTGATTACTGCACTGTGTCTCCCTCCACAGGCAATTTCCCTGACATAGCTTCCTGGAACTCTAAAACCTTGTCCCTCTGAGCTCAAGCTTCCTCGTGAAAGGGCCGCAGATCTATCTTTCCCAAAAGAAGAGGAATCAATGCAAGGAACAGGATGCGGAGAGGACACCATCCGTATCCGGGACCCCAAACCTAGCTGCCCCTCGCCTCCATAACCCCAACCCCACACCTGTCCTATATCTGAAACTTCAGGAAAATAGGATATATCAAGTGTCTTTCTTCACATAATAGGATATATCAAGTGTCTTGCTTCACATAATATGCTTCCATAGTTGCAAACAGCATGCTACCTAGAACCTATGTATTACAATGAAGAGCGAACTACACATCAAAGATGTGGCATAAGGAAAGCAGTTAATCAAGGATATAGTGAATACCTGACAATGCTAATGTATGGCGCCCACCAGCTGCAACAGTAGCAATTCTTACTCCCGGGTTCAATGTCACAAGACATGGCAATGCTGAGAGAGTTTCATCACCAGATGGTGTGCTTTCTGCAGCTTGCTTAGATGATGATATTCGTCTACGCTTTGTACCTTCCTCCCCACCTCCTCTACCGTCTACACTGGACACTGTTCCACCAGATGATCTTGATCCCTGAGGGCGGGGACTCACTGTTACAGAATTAACCTTTACCGTTATTCACCAATTGGAAAGCAATTTTTTGTGAATCATTCTGATAACAAGGCTAAACCAAATTACCTTGTTCTGCCAAAAATGAACTGTGTCTTTCAAAAGCATCCTTCTCTTGGATTACAGCTGTAGATGAATCTCCAAATACTTTCCCAGAGGGAACACCCTCTTTCCAACCCCATGTGTACACTTCTCCATTTTCTGTATTGAGAATCAAACATTGCTTACTCCATGGCTCAAGGAAGAGTGATTTACCAAGAAAAGTATTTATAAAAAAATGGCCCAATAACAAAAAACCACAGTAGCTCTATGTGAAACACACTTTTGAAAACCAGACCGGCTGGTTTGACTGGTTGAACCGTCAACCAGTCTAAATTCCAGTCGAGTTAGACCCTTGAACCCATTCAAGCTCAAAACAATGGTCTTTTTTTTCTTAAACCGGAAAAACCAGCAGTTGAACCAGTAAACCGGTGCCGATTTGAGAAAACCGGCCAGACTTAACATATGAGGTTAAGATTTGAAAATTGTAGTGCACAAGGCTTGAAAACACTTCAAGTATGAGACTCTTGTTAAGTTCCCACTAAAGCCAACAATGCTCCTTGTAAATAAATTCGTAGATATAATTTATTTATTATATTTCAATCATTTTCTCTCACAATTAACATTTTTACAAATAGCATCAATAAAAAAAAAAATTATAAATATATGTAAATCCTAAATATGTTTATATAAATATCTAGTATAAGGTATATTTAATATTTATTTTTTATTTAATTATATTTTTAATTTATTTATTACATATTTATGATATCACGGTTCAACCCGACAGTTGAATTGGTGACCCGTCCACCCGATCCATTTTCTGATTCGCTCACCGGTTCCCTTTTTAAAACCTTGGTGAAACAAATTCAATGGGACTTCGACTAATTTGATCTGTCTTTTAATTAACATAGCGCTCCATTTGGTTGTAGGGAGAAAAGGAAGAAAAAGGGAATTTAAAACATTGTACCTGCAAGTTTTTACAATTTGTGACTTTATTCTTTCCCTCCATTTTACTAGCAACCAAAGGCGAAAAATGTTCAGTTTCTTTCACATATTAAAGAATGGAAATCAGAAGTACCTGTAACTGCAACACAATGTGCCCAACCAGCTGCAGCTTTTATTATTTTAGCTTCTGACGGTAGAGGAAAAGGCTCTGGCGTTTCCTTAACAAACACAAGGGAAAGACAATAAAATTAAGGAAGAAATCAAAAAAGAACTCAAATCATTTTCAAGTAAAATGTAGTTCTGGTTTACCCCATGCTTTCCGGATGTAACATAGCTTTGACCTAGATCATCTGTTGAACCCCATGTAATGAGCTTTCCGGACTCTGATTGAAGAATAAATATGAGTACAAACGAAATTAAGCTCCTAACCATTACCAACAAACACTGAAATGGAGTAAAAACTAAAGCAAATCACATCAAAAATCAAAAAATCAAAAAAAAAAACTTTTCAATTGAAGAAAAGATTTCAGAATCAATACATAATCAAAAGCAAACAGATTTTCATGGACATGAAAACTTAATACAAAAATTAAGCAAGCATTTTTTAAAAATGCTAATTAGGGATGGCAATGGGGGTTAATGGAGTGGATATTAATTTCCCATCCCCATTCTCCTATAATTATTTTTCCCCATTCCCCATGGGTACTACCTTTCCCATCTCCTAATGGGTTTGGATTTTCCCCAACCCAACTTGACCCTTTTTTTTTTTTTTTTAAGATTCACAACCAAAGCTAAATATACATTCAATCTTATTTTATTTTATTTGGCTTAACAATAAAATCAATTACACATTAATTAACATTGTCACGTTATTCTTATCAAATTTTATGTATATTTACAATTTTTTAAATTTATTTAAAAAAATTCTATTCCTTCAAAAAAAATTTCATCTTCTTTTTTAATTTTATGTATCTCCTTTTCCTCTCTATTAATAGATCTTCGATAATCTAAAGGTGAGTTGTTACTCTTATTTCCATCTTCTTCTTCTTCTTCTTCTTTTAAATTTTTATTTGTATTTATAAAATGAATTTTCTTGTTTCAATATCTCTTGCAATTGTTTTATTAGATTTCTCTCTGATTTGATGGTAGCCTTAAATTGAATTTCTCAATTTTCATATTTTGGTTATGATTAATTGCGCGTTTTTTATCGATAGTCACAATCTTATCGCCGCTAGATTGTCGCCATCACAAATCGCCGTTGTTGTAGTGAGAGGATGAGAGAGAGTGAGAATTAGAACTCTAATTGTAAACAGAGTAGTGAAAACTAGGGATGGCAATGGATCACCTACCCTGTGAGTATCTATGGAGACCCAACCCAAATACATGGGTTTTTCCTTTTTTTTCTTATCCGTCGATGTTATTTAAATCTCCACCGAGGATGGGTATCCACTAATTTCCCCATATATATATATATATATATATTTTAGGTACATCGGAAAATAATTTCTCCATATGTTTTCACTACTCTATTTACAATAAAAGTTCTAATTCCCACTCTCTCTCATCCTCTCACTACAGCAACGGCGATTTGTGATGGCAACAATCTAGCGGCGATAAGATTGTGACTATCGAACAAAAACGCGCAATTAATCATAACCAAAATATGAAAATTGAAGACAAAAATGTATAAAATTTCAATTAAGGTGGTTACTAGTTAAGATGAAAATTGAAAAATTCAATCTAAGGTTACCATCAAATCAGAGAGAAATTCAATAAAACAATTGCAAGAGATATTGAAACAAGAAAATTCATGTACCCATCCTCGGTGTGGATTTAAAGAACATCACTTACCCTACTCGACGGACATGAAAAAAGGGAAAAACCAATGTATTTGGGTTAGGTCTCCATAGATACCCACAAGGTAGGTTATCCATTGCCATCCCTAATTTTCACTACTTTGTTTACAATTAGAGTTCTAATTCTCACTCTCTCTCATCCTCTCACACAGCAACGACGATTTGCAATGGTGACAATCTAGCGGCGACAAGATTGTGACTATCGATAAAAAACGCGCAATTAATCATAACCAAAATATGAAAATTGAAGACAAAAATGTATAAAATTTCAATTAAGGTGGTTACTAGTTAAGATGAAAATTGAAAAATTCAATCTAAGGTTACCATCAAATCAGAGAGAAATCCAATAAAACAATTGCAAGAGATATTGAAACAAGAAAATTCATTCTATAAATGCAAATAAAATTTAAAAAAAAAAATAAAATAAAAAGAAGAAAATGGAAACGAGAGCAACAACTCACCTTCAGATTATCGAATATTAACTAATAGAGAGGAGAAGGAGATACATAAAATTAAAAAAAAAGATGAAATTTTTTTGTAGGAATAGAATTTTTCTAAATAAATTTTAAAAATTCTAAATATACATAAAATTTGACAAGAATAATGTGACAATTTTAATTAATGTGTATTTGATTTTGTTGTGGAGCCAAATAAAATAAAATAAGATTAAATGTATATTTAGTTTTGGTTGTGATCTTGAAAAAAATAAATAAAAATATAAAAAAAAAGGATAATTATAGGAAAATGGGGAGGAGAATTAATATCCACTCTATTAACCCCATTGCCATCCTAGTGACAGCATATAGAGAAATTATTTTCTAATGTAGCTTAAAAAAAAAAACATACGAAAAAATTAGTAGGTATCCATCCCGCCCCATCCCAGTAGAGATTTAAAAAATATCACTTACCCTACCCGATGAACAAGAAAAAAAAAGGAAAAAAGTCATATATTTGGTTGGGTCTCCATGGATAGACAGGTAGGTTATCCATTGCCATCATAATGCTAATCTCGGCCAAAATTAAAGCTTTTTAAATAAACTCTATCACTAACGTAGGGTTACATTAACTGAAGGAACGGTGTTAACAGATCCAATGTTAACAAAAAAACACAATCTTTTCAAAACAACAAATCGAAACGAAAACCAAAAGAAAAGCACCTGAAATGGCCATAGCAAATCCGCAACCGCCGCCATAAACATCCTTCCACGAGCATCCGTCTCCAATCGACGGCGGAAGCCTAACCGCCACCGGAGACAGCAGCGGCGACCTCTGCGGCAGAGCTCCGGGAAGGTACCCCCACATGAACACTAACTTCTCCTTTACTTCCTCCATTTTCACAGCTTCTTCACCTCCTCCTCCACCATCGCCATTCATACCGACTTTCCCGAGAAAACAACACCGAGATAATCCGAAAGAATCACGCACTTCAGGGTCTCTGTTTTAGCTTCTAGAGAGAGAGAGAGAGAGAGAGAGAGGAGGTTAGTTGGGTTGGACTTGGGGAAGTGCCCTAATCGTTTGAATAAAGTGATACCATGTATACCCGAATATACTTATAAATTTTAAATTTTTGTAATGTATGCCATTAGTGTTATTCATATCAATTATTATGTTAATTAATATATTTGTTTACTTTATAAAATCCCGTGCCGTATATGATTTTATTGATCCTTGTAGGTTGACGATGTGGGATTTTTCAAAAGGGTATGTGTCTATTTTTGAGTTGCAATTTAAGTTTTCTATAATTATTATTTGTTGAGGGTTGTTTGACTTCACTCCCTCAGGTTGTCTTTGGTTGAATATGAATTAGTGAATTGGGAAATCCCAACTTCATATCCCTGGTTTTTTTTTCCCCCCCAATAATGCTATATATATTTACTGGTATATCAATTAGTGTACTAATATATATTATAACATTATCGTTTTAAAATTATGACAACACTCATTATACAAATTATAAATATTTAAAACTTCTAAAATTATATCACATTATTTATTAATACACTAATTAATATATATAATATTATTCTAAAATTATACTTTATCATCCATTAATATAATATATCGATTAATAAGTATAATAGATAAAATTTATAATTTTGAAATGATAATATGCTTTGAGGGCATCCGTATCATTTTCAAGCGAGTGGGGGTGCCACGTAGGATGCTCACGTGGGGGATCGAACACGTGGCGAATTTGCGACCGGTGGATGCTTCGGCTAATGGTAGCCAGGAGTTTCCCAGAAGTTTCTGGAAGCTCACCAGACTCCAGAGACCTTCGTAGTAGATGGCGTGGTCTCTTGGATTCTTGACACGTGTATTTCTTTACTAAATAATTCCAATCATTACGCAATGCCACGTGTCGGATGGTGGGGGAGGGGAATTACTACAGTAATTGCATTTTTTTAAAAATTTTTTGAGGTACCACGTGACACCTGTGGAGGGGGCCTTTTATTAATTGTTTGGTAATCGTTTTCTTATTTGCCACAAATGCCCTCGTGATTGTTGAAATTGGGACACGCGTCGATGCTTGAGAGGGTGTTCTCACTTTTAAGACATACCTTTACCTTTTAAGTGCGCGCGTAATATTAGAAATAAAAATATTATTCATCTCAAAAATTTTATTAAAAATTTTATCAAATGTCTTAAATGAGTATGTAATTTACAAGATTTACATTATGTGAATTTTATATCCATGTGAGACATTTGGTAGAATTTTTGGGTTCCTAACATTACTCTATTAGAAATTCTAAAAATTCTATTAAAATTTTTACAAAATATCTCATATGGGTGTGGAACCCATACCATGAGTTTGATATAAATCTCACATTTATGTGAGATATTTGATAAATTTTTTAAAATCTCTAATATTTTTGTAAGTGTCCTTAGTCGCACTCAATTTCTTTTTTTTCCTTAGTGCTGTCCAAGAGTCAAGTAAGAAAAGTTATTGGGTGGTGTTGAATCATTCATTCATACTACTTAGGAGTGTTTTGAAAAGATAGTAAAAAATAATTTTTTGACTTTTAACTAAGCTTTTGGCTCTTTTAGACAAGTGATTTGAAAAGTTGGTAAAAAGTTGAGGGCTGAACAAGAAAATATATAATCCGTAATCCGATTTGATCCAGTCAAATCTGATAAGTTTGGATTGATTTTTTGAATCCGTGGTTCAGTTTTGGATTGAAAATTAAAAAATCCGTAGGCCACGAATCGATTCCGGATTTAACCCCATGGTTCCGGATTTGAACCGATTCAGATCGTATACAAATAGTTTATATTTATACTATAGACCCTCTCACATAATATCATTTCTTATTCCATATAAAAGCTAAACCCTTATTCCATGTTGCTGCTATGATTTTGCTTGTTTGTTGCTTCTGTTCATGGAGTTTTGTTACTTTTGTTTGTCTAAAACTAGTTTTCTTATTATTTTTATTTGATGTTATGTTTAGTTTTAATACAGAGGAGAACTTTGCTTTGTGTAACATGTATCTAATTTTATTGCTTTTGTTTGTTGCTTTTGTTTGATGTTATGTTTATATTTTTATGAAATTAAAATGTTCTTTATTTTTTTTTATTTAATTATGCGAATCCGTGGTCCTAAATCGATCCAATTCGTATCTAAACGCATTGGTTCAGCTTGGTTCCACGATTTAAACGGATTAGATTGGTTCCAATTTTTCAGAAAACATAAATAACGGATTGGTTCTGGTTTTATCCCAATCCGGACCATGCTCATCCCTAGAAAAGTTGCTTTTAGTTTTTTTTATTAATATTTATTTATGATGTCAAATCACAATAAAATGACCAAACTACTCCCATTCAATTTAAAATATTCACAACTTCACCCATCACTACTAAAAATCAGACTTTTTGCGACGGTCTCAAACGTTGCAAAAGGTCCACGTGTTGTCGCAAAAGACTTTTTTGCGACGGAGTAGCGATGGGAAATGAGGGGTGACGGAAGGGGGAGTGACAAAAAGTATTTGCGACGGTTACAAACCGTCACTTTCTTGTAACGACAGTAAATCAATAGTTTTTGCGACGGTTTAACCTGACACAAAAAATGGGAGAAAACATCACTTTTAGCGACGGCTTAGGATGCCGTCACCAAATTTTTTTTTTTAAAGACAGTAGTTGACGTCGCAAAAAGTACCATTACCAACGGTTTTAAATAAGCTCTATGTATTCTAGAGTAAGAATTGGGATACCTGTACATATGTCTGGTCATGAGCTTTTATAGACTTTACTTGGCACAATCCTAGTAGGATTCTAACTCTCCTTATAAGAGTCCTTCTAGGAATCACACACCCTACTCACTACCAGCTAAGTGAGATGGTTTACACAATCCTAGTAGGACTTTACTCTCCTTAGCAGAGTCCTCCTAGGAGTCACACTCCTACTCACTATCAACCAAGTGAGATGGTTTTGTATAGTCCTAGTAGGACTCTACTCTCCTTAGCAAAGTCTTCCTAGGAGTCTCAAGCCCAAGGATAATGATTATCCCTAAAACACCATCATCACTGCAAGCCAAGTGAGATGGCTGAACCCTTACCTCGGCTAACATTGCGGTCAACTGTGCTTACACAGCCTGGTGATACTTTAAGCACCACTGTCAGTCTTAACTCTAAGATGACGCCCTGTAGAGCTATCCTTTAGCTCGGTTCTCCCTCCACTGATACCTCGGTCCCGGATAGCTAGGCCAGGTCACTGGTAGCCCATCTCTAACCGACCCGATGTTTAGATGGTCAAGGACCGTGCTACATAAATATTTACCTCAGCCCATAGTTCAGCCCAAACCCGAAATATGAGATGTCTTCTTGGCCTAAGACCGAGCTACACCAGCCCTTATCTCGGCCCATTACGCGGCCCAACTCCCAAAGAAAACTTTTCCTAGCACGGCCCAATTTGTTTACAAATTACCCTCTCAATTGCCCCTTAATTCTATCTGCGTAGCATGATTGGGATTATTTTTTCTCCAGCCGAGCTAAGAACACCGCACTCTGCCAAGCTAAAAAGTTGTTCGGTTTCATAACTCGTTCGGCCCCAATAAGCCTTGTCAGTTGCTGAACATGTTCTTCCACTAATCTGGCACGACGTCATTCCCAAGATACGTGGCGTGCCCCAATTATCCTCGTTCTCTTGTTACAACCGTCACGTACCTTCAAAATTTTGAACAGCCCCGCCTTTTTGCCTTCAACATTTATATCCTTCAAGTTTGCAATCGTACTAGAAGACGTTCTTTCTGTGTAATCGGGCTATATGTCCCACCTTTTGTAATGAAAAATTTCGATCTCTTTGCTCGGTTACTGTGTTTCTTTTTCAATGTTTTGCATCATTTCGACTGTATGCCTAGCCAAACTAATTAGTTTGGCCTTACTTGATCCTGTCAACCTTCTTTGGCTGGGATACGCATCTCAGCTGAAGAATCCAAAAATTTGTTAGTCAAACCTGTCAACCTACTTTGGCCGAGGTAACTGCCATCCCAGCCAAAGAGTGCAAAAATTTTGTTGGTCAAACCTGCAAACCTTCTTAAGCCTAGGTCTTTATCTCAGCTGAAGAAAGCTAAATGTTGGTTATTCCTACCAACCTTCTTCAGCCTAAATCCTAACCTCGACTGAAGGGAGCTCAATGTTGGTTATTCCAGCCAACGTTCTTCAGCCTAGATCCTTATCTCAGCTGAAGAGAGCTAAATGTTGGTTATTCCTGCCAACCTTCTTCAGCCTAGATCCTGATCTCGACTAAAGGGAGCTCAATGTTGGTTATTCTGGCCAACGTTATTTAGTCTAGATCCTGATCTCGGCTAAAGGGAGCTCAATGTTGTTTATTCCGACCAACATTCTTCAGCCTAGATCCTTATCTTGGCTAAAGATAGCTCAATGTTGGTTATTCCTGCCAACCTTCTTCAGCCTAGATCCTGATCTCGACTGAAGGGAGCTCAATGTTGGTTATTCCGGCCAACGCTCTTCAGCCTAGATCCTTATCTCGGCTGAAGAGAGCTAAATGTTAGTTATTCCTGCCAACATTCTTCAACCTAGATCTTGATCTCGGCTGAAGGGAGCTCAATGTTGGTTATTCCGACCAACATTCTTCAGCCTAGATCCTTATCTCGGCTGAAGAAAGCTAAATGTTAGTTATTTCTGCCAACCTTCTTCAGCCTAGATCCTGATTTCGGCTGAAGAGAGCTCAATGTTGGTTATTCCGGCCAACGTTCTTCAATCTAGATCCTTATCTCGGCTAAAGAGAGCTAAATGTTTGGTTATTCCTGCCAAACTTCTTAATTGCCCCCAGGTCGGGCAAAGACTTTTATGCGGTCGGTCCTACTTGTCAACCGTGTTAACTCTCGCCAAAGGCTTTTTGTCTGATATCGCTGTTGTGCAGGACTCTTTCTCGGTGCGCGCCCCATCTTCCTCTACCCGGATGTGTTGGTGCACTCTCTCCATCAGGGCTTCCATAGTAAGGGGTGGCGTCATTGTCATTGAATCCCTCAACTTATTGCCGGCCAGCAAACCTCGTTTGTACTGTGCGAT